TGTGGCTCAATGTCTGCCCAGTCTAGGCAAAGTCCCTGACTGTGGCTCAATGTCTGCCCAGTCTAGGCAAAGTCCCTGACTGTGGCTCAATGTCTGCCCAGTCTAGGCAAAGTCCATGACTGTGGCTCAATGTCTGCCCAGTCTAGGCAAAGTCCCGGACTGTGGCTCAATGTCTGCCCAGTCTAGGCAAAGCCACTGACTGTGGCTCAATGTCTGCCCAGTCTAGGCAAAGCCCCTGCCGAGTAGTCGATGCCGAGTATTTGGGCAAGTACCGAGGTTCCGGTATCAGGAAGCCTGGCGGCGAGTCATTACACGGCACTCAGCTTCCTGATTGACCAGAAAGCCGGCTCCATGCTTCCTCGTCACCTGGGGATGAGGGAGCATGGAGCCGGCTTCCCCGCTAATTGGGAAGCCAGTTCCCTCACCTCCCGATTTACTGAGCCGACCTGTGACAGTTTAATTATCACAGGTCGCCTCAGATTATGAGGCGGAGTGAAAAGCACTCCCTCATAATTCTCCTTTTAATTGGACTTCTGGTATCGGCGAGTAAAAAAAATAAAATAAATGCTGGTACTCGATACCGAAAAAACGCAAACCGGTATCGGTGCATCCCTATCCTACATACTGTCAATCTTGTAGCTAGTGTGACCAGACCTTTATGATGTCATGGGGACACACCATTGTCGGAGCAGTTCACAAAAATGAGGAATAATAAAGAATGGGTAATGATTTCAGGTATGTGCGATGGATGAGGTCACCAGCACAGTACAATGTGGCAATCTTCTTGGAATTGGTATATGATCCGATGTGCGTCATATCCTCTTGTTTGGTTTAGTGGTGATGGCTCAGCAGTATGTTGTCACTCTCTTGGCAGTGTACAGATTATGACAAATGATTTTGTAATTACAACCTGTAACTTAGAAACTGAAGAACAGAAAATATGCTGTACAAAAGCAGCTTTTCTATCACAAGCAATCTTTTAAAAGTCAGAGTATAGCTTTTTAAAATGGCTAGCCATTTTGTTGCAATTCAGGGTTTGCTTTTTTTTTTTCTCCAAGACCAGGTCAAGGTTCA